CCCCAAAACCCCAAAACCCCAAAACCCCATCAGTTAAGCATTAATTTAAAAAAGCTGAATTATATGAAAATTGAAAATTTAACAAAGCATTTATATTATTTAACTTTGAATTAATTTTATTATGGGCTGCTCTGAATCTAAAGTCGTAAACAAGTCGAGTGAACCAGTAAAGAAAATTATCCCGGATAAAAATGGCTAATCTCAGCTTACTTAAGAAACTCTATGGCCTGAATAGCCACCTATTTCAACTAGAGCAATAAATCAGCAGAGTGATCTACAATATACAAATTCAAACTCTGCTAGTGGAATATGGGGTATTAATGGAAATGGAACTAAAGATAGTAGTAAGAAATTATCGAAATAAATTTTAATGTAGCTGTGAAAATGAATCCAGCCGAAGATCAAGATGCTTATTATGCTTAGATGAGAAAGTAGATAGAGGACTAGAAAAAAAAGAGGGAAAGAGACGGAGTCAAAAGACAAATAGCCGAGCGTTAATTACAGAAATTGGTAAAATCAGATATTTAATACTTTGCTTGGCATTTTACTTATCATAATAAAATAGGCGAAGGAGCATCCTGATCTACTCTAAGAAAAGGCTCAGGAAATGATTATGAAATATGACACTAAAACTATGAACAAAAGTACTAAAGTCCTCCCTCCGCTAATGACAGCAAATACCTTAACAGGTTCTTAAAATATGATGAAGTCATTTAAGAATCCTCTGCTTATGAATTAGAGTAAGTACCCTTTCATTCGATTACTTAAGGATCACTCATTTCCAATATTTTTATCAGAGAATTAATATAAAAATAGGTGGATAATTTGAAATACCAGAAAATATTGATTAATAAACACCTTAGGCTTTTAATTTGAGTATCAATATTGGAGTTAACATTCAAAATAATGACAGCAAAATAGTCACAAGCAAAATTGACAGATAAGTTGATTTAGATGACCTCTTAGATGAACTTGACAATGAAGTAAACATAGCCTCTCCAACTTTTGATTATTAGAAATCAAGCAGTGCTCTGGGTAAATAACATAGCAAAAATCTCAGCCCTAATCCTAAGCTTCTTAAATCAGGCCAGAACTCTAGAAAAGATCTACGAACTGGCTCAATTCAAACTTAAGGAGAGGATACAAAGACTGAACTTTGGTCTCATTAGAATAGTGGTTCAATCTTGGTATCATCATCCAATAAGCAGGGTAAATCATCCTACCGAGATAGTTTAGTTCCACATCATGAACACAAAAGATCAAAGTTTGAAGCTGACCATATTCTTGAAGAGGATAATAACAGTTTCAACAATTCAATGACAAGAGGTGGTGGAGAGATAAAGTAAGATATGGTATAAATCAACTAGTTTGACATCAGTACAACTCATAACCAAAGTAACTCAAAGTATAACAGAAACAATCTGCAAAACATAGTTGCATAGCTTAATGATAGCGTAGATGAATTATTGAACTTGTGAGTCTCAGATTTATTTAGAAGAGGGGAAATGCGTTTAGCTGGAGCTATAAATATTACGGAGAAAACTCTGGTTTAAGATGCTTTTTCTCAGACTCACACTTGTAAAATGACTATAATAATCATTCTAAAAAAGGACTAACTTAATTATTATTAAAAGTCGCTAAATCTTAATAAGTTTATCTTTAGAAATATAAATGAAAGCAGTAATTATTTATATATTCAAGACTCAGGGTCATTAGCTTTCTTAGATCAAAATATTTTATCATATGATTATCTATCAATCTGCGTTAAGAAGTTAGTTGAATTCGCCATACTCAACTTTGCCACTCTTATCCTCATCAATTTCATCAATGAGCTTCTCAATATCGATTGTCATTTCAAAATCATCTTTTATAATGCTTATTAACTTTTATGCATCAACGTAACCACCTCTATCTTAATCACCACCCATCGCCACATAAGCCAACAATGTGTCAGCTTCATTGCTCTGGTTTTGTTTTCGTTTAATTTATTCAATTAGTTCAATGAAATTTTTCTCAGTCATCCTTCTAGACTGATCAACCTCTTCATCAGCTAAAATCTCAAATATATCTTCCTCTGCAAAATAATTGTCTTCGGTGATCTTCTTTACAATGACCAATGCTTCTTCAACATTAATAAGTCCATTCCTTGCTAATTTTTTAAAGCATTCCTTTAATTTTTTCATTTCGAATTCACTTATCAGAACTTCTTCTTCCTCGTCGTTATCATCTTCCCCACTCCCATTATCGTCTCCTTTCTTAGAATTATTTTAGGATTCATCTGGATCACCTCCTTTCTTAGAATGCTTTGACTTGATGTCATCGTCTTAAATCGTCTTACTGGAATCCATGTTTTAGTTTGATAAAACTTATATTTATAATTATAACGAATTTATATGTTTTGATTAGTTAATAAAGTAGTAGATAAAATTGATCTTCTTTAAGCAAACTATATATGAAAGAAATGTGGATAAATGTATATATGTGTCATTATCAATCGCTATAAGAGAAAACATCTCCAATTCAAGTGCTTGTTCCTCTTCAGATGGGTGGATTTTGAATGAAAGTGTCCAGCCTCTATGCATCGCTTATTCTGCTTGCCTTCGAGGTAGTAGATCTCGGGCCTGATTTAAGAGGTAGCTGCTTTTGAGCTCCAAAAAATTTATCTTTATTATTGATGAACTTTGGATCTCTCTGCATATTGAGTTCCTAAAAACGAATATAAGCATTATAAAAGTATTTTTACATCGACTTTTGTTCTCTATTCATTTAAGACTGAGAATCCTTTACTTTACTTGACTTGTTCAACAGATGGTTTTGGAATTTTGAATGGTCTTTCACCTTGAGCTGGTTACTCAACTCCATAGAAATTTGCAGCATTTTTCTGAAAAATACTACCTTAGCTACTCATTGATTTTCCACAATCGAATTGATCTCCGTAAAACAGCGCAGCATTTCTCTAGAACAGGGTTGAGGTTTGATTTTACTATTGTGCTGCGAATTGACCTCTTATTTATTGATAGCCTGTCTAAGCTCTTTCCTTGATCTAGAATCCTGACACTTCTTTTTGGTCATCACCACCAGCTACACTTCTTTGTGATTATTTTTCACTAGCTTAATTTGACTGCTATCCTCGGTATTATCCTTCTACTGGAACAGTTTGAGGACGATTGATTATTTAAGAACCCTGAGACTTTATATCATTTTATGACTCATTTTCTTTGCCTTTCTGGCCAACAAAGTGATTTAAATTAACATCCTTAGTTGCTCCTGGATTTACCCCGTAGAATTTAGCCATATCTTTTTTAAAATCTGTCTCGCTAACTACAACCTACTTTAAAGTTTTAGTCTTCTAGGATTCCTATTTGGCTTCAATCTATTTTCTAATCCCCATATACTTTGAGGCCATTGATGATTCTTCAGCTTTATTGCCATATGGATTTTAAATTCCCATTTCAGAATGACCAGGCATTTTGTAAGTTGGATTAAGTGGATTTGTCTATCTCTATGAGCTTACTCCTCTTTTAATTGTACTTGCCTGTGCTCCTTCAATCTCACCAATATTGTTGGTATCTCTAAAATGCTTTCTCTCTTTTGAGTGAAAATTTCCTAATCTCTTTGAACCTACTGCTGTGCCCGGAATGTCTTTTACTTCTAGTCCACTAAAATATCCGCCATTCAATCGCTCTGGCTGCTTTTTAGGACTACTACCTGCTATTTCTCCTATTGTTATTAGCTAGCCACTTTCATCTCTTATTTGATATTATGGTAAGAGTGGGTTGACAGACCTTGAGGATGTGAATTTATCTTTAGTAATATCAGCGTAACTAAATGAATCATATTATGTTGATCTCACATATACTTATTTTGCTTTTGCTCCATCGATATCCTTCACATCCATTATGTTTCTTGTTTCATAATACTTAGCCTTTTTAGGATGAGCACCATCAATATCTTCATTAGTAATTTAATCTCTAATAAACTTAGGAGGAGTAGGAGGTCTGTATTCGACTTCTGGTAATTTGTATTATGGATTAAGTGGATTTGATGGTGGTCTTGTTGTTTGAAATTTGATATAATTAGGTTTAGACTTTTCTATATCAGAGTTAGATAGGTTGTACTCAGGTTTATTGAGACCTATAGTTTAAAGTTGTTAATTGCTGTTAAATTTTTGAATTGCAAATAGGAGTTTTATTTTTTTAGCAGTGACAATATTCTAATCAGTTTGAGTAAATTGTTTATTACTTACCCATATGAAGAGCTCTTGGACATGATCTGTCAATATCCCAATTTTAACCTAAAAACTCTGGTCTACTAATAGTCTCTTTCACCCATTATTTAGGCTAAGCACCTGAATATTTACTGTTAAAATCGATTTTATTTTGGAAAAATTGAGAATTTTAGAAATAAAAACATACCTTGAATGTCATTAGTTGCAAGATTATGTGAAACTGATCTCTATCTTTGAGAAACGTGAGCTGTTTTAGCCCTGAAAAGATCCTTATCTTTTGAAATTGAGCTAAGAGACATCAAATCTTTTCTATTTGGCATGGGCCAATTAAATGGGTCCTTATTTGTACTGGTCTTCGCTCCTCCTTGCAATGCCATTTCTATATTTTTCTTATTATTTTCTTTTAAATTTTGCAATATTATTTGATTTCAATCATCATGGGGTTTTGGGGTTTTGGGG